GCTATGGCAGTGTATGTGTTGCTGTTTTGTGGGAGTCATCTAGCTTAAAATGCTGACACAATGACTGTTGGATCTTGGGAGTGCACGATAATCAAATTAGGAGATGCAGCATACCACGATATCCTGGCTTCGGCTGGGCTTGAAATAACCCTTTTGCTGTCCTCCGCTCTTTGCATCAGTGGCTTCCTAGATTCGAGCGAGTGCATTTGTGTAGCTGAGATGTGTGTCTACGTGAAAGAACATGTGGAGAGAGTCGTATTGGCATTCGCATCAAGCGCATTGCGCATTTTTCGAATTTTGGCCCCCTTCCAGGGACCTTGATTTTTACCCGCTGGCACTGACGTCTTTTAATTGGTCAGCCGGTTAGCGCGGTCGATGCTAATAAAAAAAAAAAATACACACACACACACACACACAGGCACACACACACACCTCTAGCGCCGCCTTGCCTTGGCCGCACCTCCCGCAGGCCGTTATCACCGCGCTCATCGTGTTCACGTTCGGGGTCAGCTTCCCACCGCCCCCTTCCTCCTCCGCTGCCGCCATCATCCTGTCAAGAATCTCAAGGGCCTCCCTCCACCGCTTGCACTTGGACATGGTGGTGATGCACGCGGTGTACATGTACACCGTCATCGGCTCGGCTCGGGGGGCAACGGCCGCTGATGTGGAGGCAGCCGCGGCGGCGGCAGCGGCAGCTGTGGCGGCGGCGCGCCCTTCCGCGGCGTCTAGTTCGCGGAGGACGGCTTGCCAGTCCCCGCTGGACTCCATGGCCTTGACCTACTGCCGTTGCAAATACCACGCGTCAAGAACAGCAGCAGTTTAAATGGCAGCACACATTGCTGCTGTGTTGGTTTTCGTTGTTTGTAGGCAAGAAACCCAGGCTCGGCTAGCAATTAGTACGCAGCACACTCAGTTGGTGTTGTTCATGTTGTTTGTAGGCAAGAAATCCAGGCTCGTGCGTACAGCGGTATATTGGCGCCTAAAACGCTTGTGCGCGACGCACAAGACAGTAATGCCCCCTTCCTGCCCATGTCCGTGATGGCTACCGGAAGAGTTCGACACGGCTGCTGAAGGGTTGTTTATACTTGAGTTTCACTCGACACAATCATGGGCGTAAACGGCCCCAAGAATACGCGTGTTTTCTTTCGCTGGGTCTTGCGGTATACATACCATGTCAACGCCGTACCATGAACGGTTTAGGGAGGCGAGCGAGGGGCGTGGTTCTTCCTGACAGTGAAAGAAAACATGAACTGGCTCTCGGTGCCAATACTTCGATCACGGCTCGACTTCGCATGCGTGCTACAAAAGACAATGGAGACAGAAAACTGCTGCGTTGGTTTGCCGTGTTGTGATGCTTGCTGCTGCTGGTGAAGAATAGCAGACTCCGCTGCTAATTCTGTGTCGAGTTGTATCTAATTACGTAGTCTACGCACAGGATTGCAAGGGTGTGCATGATATGTTTGAGCGCATGAAGGGTGCATGCGCGGGCTGCAGAGCATGAACAGCAGCGGGCACAACAAATACAGGACGGAGAGACTCGTAACGAACGCTACCACATCCCATGCGAGCTACAAGAGTAGCGAAAGGGTGGTGGTCACCCGGGGCCCAACTAGGTCAGTCAATCCGGAGATGGCACAGCCGCAGCAGTACATAGCGCTCAACGACACACACACTTTGCACACCTTCTTCACAAACAAGCGAGAGTGCGGGTTGTCCGTGCCCCTCCTTCGCCGGACCTGCGCACCACCCCCAACGCTTTCTGTGCCACTAGGACGTGCCGCGCTAGTACTCCTGGCTTTGGAGCTCGTCCTCGAGTAGCCGCCAGCAGACACGCTCATCAAAGAGAGAGCGCGCTGGCTCCTGTTGCTGCTGCTGCTGTCTGGTGGTGTTGTGCCGCACGTCGCACATCCGCCGAGAGCACAGTCACCACCCCGAGAACGTGGTATGGCAGACCCGACGCCGTGATGGTACCATGGTACTCGCGGCCGAACGATTCCGAGAAATCCTTCCCCTGGATCGAAGCGTGCAGCCGGGAGGGACATGAAAGCCATGGCAGCCAGGGGAGGCTGCCGTGTGCGCAGTTGAGGTGGCCGCTCATGTGGGTCAACCAACAGGTCACCACTGCTCGTGGAGGGGATCAGCGGTCAAGAAAGGAGGGGGATATGTCGTGCGGTTTGTCGACACCTGCGGAGGGCCAACGCAGCACACACCATCTACACCGCTGACCTGCGCAGTGCGTGCCAACACCACCGGCCATGGCCTTCATCGCGCTTCCCAAGCTGTCCCACGGCAGCAGCAACACCGCCGGCGGTTGGTTGCCGCACGCGACGCAGCACCGATGGCGACCACCCGCCGTGAGCAGCGGCAGCAACAGTATCTCGTTTGTTGCCGACACAGGCAGACCACGCACGTCTCGAGCAACCGCTGCTATCATGAGCATGTTAACAGAGCCAGGAGCCGCCAACGTTGCCTCCAGTAGCAGTAGCAGTGATAGGAATCCCTCCCCAGGAGTAGGAGGTCTTGGCGCGATAGCGTCGACTCAACCTGCCGCAGCAACGATGAAAAGAGAAAAGGGCAGCAGTTTCTCCAAGCGCGGAGCAGCAGGAGGACCGCGCACCGGCAGGGCGCTGCCACGCGACGGCCGGGCGAGCTTCCGCACGAAACTCGCGCTGGACAAGATCGACGCGGTGAGGAAGGACGACTGGAAGAGAGTCCTGGTCGAGCTGGATAAGGCGGAGCTCGCGGAGGGGAGGGCGACGACGAACAACGCAAAGGCGCCCCCCGCGGCGGTGTCGACCTATGTGTACAGCAAGTGCATCTCTCGCATGGCCAAGTGCTTCCGCTGGGGCGAGGCCCTCGACATATTGGCGAGGATGGCAGAGCTGGGGGCCATGCCGAACTCGTGAGTGAGAAGTCGCAGAGAGACGTTGCGTGGAAAACACGGAGCTGATAGTTGACGTCGGCGAGAATGCACAGCTGGGTTGCACAGCTGGGTTGTCGCCACGTAGTGCGACGTGCGTTGCAACCCAGCAGCAGCAGCAGCAGCAGTTGCGTGTACCGCAAGCAAGTATCACACCTCCGGGACTGATTTTCCAACCACTCCACGACGAAGAGGAGGGTGCCACAAAACAAGGCTCTCGACAATGACGGTGCCAACGCCGTCATTCTCGGCACCATCGCTGTTTTCGTTCCAGAGTAATGGAGCTTTGAAAAATCGGTCCAGGGGGTGTGCTATATTCCGCAACCGACGGTAGTTGCATGCATCATGCGTCGTGTGGATGAGCCCGTCGTCTTGCGAAGCAGCGGCAGCGTTCCACACACCAGTCGTGGTTGAGCGGTCTACGCGCTGGAGAGAGGACGGTGACATGAGTAGTGACTGCTTTGCTGCTTTGTACTCAGAGGGGATTGCTGCCGTTCGGTGCTTGCCCTACTGGATCTCACGGACGGTAGTAAGCGTGCACGCAGCAACATACGTGTAATGCATGCATCATACAGCTTCACCCAATATTCTCATTTTCTTATTTTTTAGTCCGATGGGCTCTTCTGGTCGCTAGAATTGATCGGTTGATGCTGTGGAGCGAAAGGCATGTACATTCAGGACTCTTCGCTTGAAAGAAGTGCCGCGATTTGAGAGAAATCCCGCTGGGGGTAAGCTTACGTGCTGCTGCTGCTGCTGCTGCCGCCGCCGCTGCGAGGCGAAAGTACCACCCCGGCAGCTGGCGGCGTGCACTCCACACACAAGACCAGGAGCAGCAAACAGCGCATTGTCCTTGCTCCTCCCCAGCCCTTTTCCTCTCTTCCTTGTTTTTTCATTACTCTAAAATCAGTGCTCACAGCATTTTCTGCCGGGCAGGAGCTCGAATCCTCTCCTTGAAGACAACACACCCGCTTTGTTCCTCGCAGGCATGCGTCTCCGCGCCCGTCACCCTTGCCACTACACACTCTCGAAATGGCTATGCCACCCCCCCCCGCCCTTGTTGACAATACCCCCCCCGTCCCGTGCCCGTTCCCCACCGTCTCCGCCGAAACGTGCTTGCCCCCCCCCC